GCACTCAACCGCTAAGCCACGGGGCCAGCCCGTTGTCTGACTTTTATCTTCCAAAAACATGGTTGATCCTTAAAATTGCTTGTAGTACATACCGCTCTGGGAACATTATACTTAATTAAATAATGCTATTGATGTTCCTTGAGAATCCTTAAGAAATTTTTTAGATACTGAATTTCTACTAAGCTGGAAAATCTACTCAGCCAAATTTGTCTCAATGTTGAGTGCTGTTTTAGAATAAATCTTGTTAGAAGACTTGAAAGTGATTTTTAATCAAATCTTATAGTTTTTAAGTTATAAAAAGTATGTTTTTATTTTGTTTCTATTGTCAATGTGTCTCTCTTCTTATGCTATTGTAATTGCAGGACATATTTGAGTTTAGGGCTTATAAGCCATCTGTCTTTTAATATTTTTCGCCCTGAAACATCAAGAATACATATATATTTATTTACCTTTTATAAACTACATATATACTATTAAGAGCACTTCTCAAACTCTTTTAAGATCTGTTAATTTATGCAGTTCGTGATTAATAGACTGACAGGAAAAAATAACATTTATAAATATGTATTTATATGTGTTTAATGACTTTCTTTATATTTTTCATCAGCTTCTATAAATGTTTTTCTTCAAGGTGAATGATTTTGTGAGGGATAAATTTATGCACAAAGATGGTTCGGTCCCACTTGCAGCAGAAATTCTTGCTGGAGGCTGTGTAAGTACCTTTTGCAGATCTCTACGCTGAAAAGACTTGTTTCACATTCATATCATTACCGTGGTAAACAGTGTGGACTAAGGTTTCTGTTCAACCACAGATCCTGTACAAGGACAGAGTCTACTAGGGTACCTCGGCTTTTCCTAGACAGGCGAACCACTCCTGAGGTGGAAGGGTAAATGTTTCTGATCTTATTGCCTGTTAAGTCGTGCCTGTTAAATTCGTCACTGCTTGCGGTTGGTTCTGCAGTAGAAGTCGTTTGTGGCAGAAGTGTTTGGCCCTTGAAAAATCTTTGCTAACTTTTCCTAAAGTTAATTTTTAGTACATTCTTTCCTCATGGCACCCTCTGCTGGGTCAGGCACTAAAATTTGCAGTTTGGAGTCAGCAGCCACAGCTCTCTGCTTTGCTTTACCTCACAAGTGCTAGCAACTCTTCAAGCTCCCTAGTGCCTCTGGGATGCTGGGAAAGAACTGGCTGAGTGCTTTCTGCATTGTCAAAAATGCTTGGAGTGAGTATTTCTTTATATGGATGAACAACTTGCATCTTGTTCTTAAGTTCAGCAAAACATTATGTCTTGTTTTATCTCATGCACAGGTTTGTTCATGTGAATGTAAATACTTTAAGTAAATTAAACTCTTACACAAAGACTGGTACTATTTCAAGATAAGGTTGGTTAAATAAACAGGCTTTGATCACTAGGGCAATACAATATGGGTATATTTTCCATCTAAACCTGTGTTTCTTTTCTTATAAGAAAGATGAGGTCACTTTTTTTTTCCTAATTTGCTTGTTCTGTGCAGGAAATGGTATTCATGGAAGAACCTTTTCTTGAAAATCATTGAGTCTAGAAACTGAGCAAACACCTGAAAATATTAAACCTTTGTTTGGGTAGCACTAATTGTCCTGTCTAACATTGAATGGTGGTTCCCTGAAGGTAGCAGGAACTAAGGACTCCTAGCTCCTGGTGATTCTTAAGAGATGGGCAGAATCTGGCTACTGCCTGACTCTCTTTCTGTTTGATCACTGACCTGTCATAGACAGCCAGGTAGGATACCCTTGTTCTGTAACTTTAGGAGCATTCAGGATGGAAACAGGGAGGCTTTAATGTCCTAAATAAGAAGGACACACAATAATAATCAAAAAGAATATTAGGAATTGCAGAAACTGCTCTTCCCAGTAAGTATTGTTCATTTAAAACAACTATAGTTTCCATTTGAGCAACTAGATTTTCTAACTTTAAATAGGCATATCCATAGGCTGTATCTAGCCCATTCTTCAAGCTGTTGCAAGGGGCCCAAGATAGCAGCACGTTTCACTAAGTCAGGTGGGTTTGTGTTTTAAAAAAAAGTCAGGTTTGAAACTTGCTGAAAAGACATGATTATATATCTCTGGAAGAATTAAAAATGTAAAATTAATTATGTGATACTACTCATGATTTTGGCAATAATCTTGAGCTTTATTTTCTTTTCAATGAAAGCATTTTGCCCGCGTGTGGGTCTGGGTGCCAAGGAGATCGGTTGTGGCATGCATTGCCTACTGTAGGTGGTCTTGCTTTCTCGTATGTGGTCGCCCATTTCAAACACAAAGCACAGATTGGCATCAGTAGTGGTGCCTCGTGATTGTAAAGAGGTGCAGCCCTTTTTCAGACCTGATCTAAACACAGGCTTAAAATTGGAGCCACTTGGGCTTTACAGCTACTTAAAATATCTGTGAAACGAGGTTTGCCATCCTTCATCTCAAAGGTGGTAGACAGTGGTCCTCAGTGTTTCAAGTCTCCTGTTTTGCATTTTTTTTTTTTTTTTTCCTTTTCAGGTAAGCAATCCTGTAGGTAGCAAACAATCCAGGCCCCTTTGGATCTCTGAGTAGTGGGATGGATGATTCCATTTTCCATAGGTATTTTTTAAAGTAGCAGCAGCACCTCTCTTTGCTGGCTTAGGCAGACTTTTCCCCGTCATCGGAGCAGGTCACATGCCTTAGAAAGTCACTGTGAGTTCCACAGCCTCGTCTGTCCAATTGGGAATACAAAGGGTTTTGAAAGGTTGTGTCACAAGAGCAGTTACCCTTCTTAGTTCACCCACCCATGGCCAGATGTTGACTTTTAAGTCCCCGGGGAGCTCACCTTGCTTCATTATTACTGAGAATTAGTACACATGGCTGACTTGTGCACTTGTAACCCAAGCCGCTCATTTCTTTGAAGATGACTTTTTCTGTTTTGTAATCTGTTTTCTGCAAAAACAGGAAAAATATGCAGAGAAGTCTTTGTCTCATAACATTCATAGCACTTAGCTAAACTCATAGTCTGTTTTATTATATATATATATTTTAGAAAAACAAAAAAATATAAATTTGAGGAAAATTTTGGAAGAAAAAGGAAATAAAATGAATTCCATTCATTAATGTAATAAAATCTGTAACTGAAAACAGATTAAAAAATAATCTTCTGTTTCATTGATGTATGCAAACGGGTGAATCTAACTTTATTTTTAAACTCATTTTTTGCACTGTTTAGAGCACTGTTAACATTTTGGCTTCAGTTTTCTGAGCATTTTTATAGATTCATGCTTAACAGTAGTGAGGTATTCAGCACAGTTCAAGACTAACCCAGATGCTGAGACTGGGGTTTACAAACTCTAAAAGTCTGAAAGGTTCTTTGTGATTTATGTTTTCTCCATAAGTTGGTCTTCTACTTTCTCAATTAGACTAGAAGCTGTAGGAGTTTTGACAGAGACCTGGACCCGCAGGCGTCCCTACACAAAATATATATACCTTCTGTTTCTTTCCATCCTTCCTCTTCTAGGGTCAGGAGCTCAGACCCTGTAGGGACACATAATTGGTGATGACTGTCAGTGGCAGCAGAGGCTCTCAGTAAATGGGGCAGAGGAGAGAGGCCTGTCATCACTACCCATTTCCAGTTAGGTTCCCAGTAACTATAACAACGACCATATTGTATCTGAGTACATTGTTGTTATTGCTGTGTTGCTGCTGTTTTAAGAAAAAATAACATATGTAGTGCCGTGTGGTCTGTAGGTTGAAGTCCTTAATTCAGCAAAATAAGTGTGTATTGACTGTCTCCTATGCATCTAGTGGAAGAGAGGGTCGAAATCCCGAGGGGGCTGAGATCTTTAGTTTTTGATCTTTTGATCTTAAGGTCATTAGATAAGGAAATACAAATGGTGCCATGACTGGTTTCAAGGAAGATATGAGTATGATGATTAATTTATTTGGCATGAAAATCTACATTGCAATGAAATAATATTCATCAGGAAACAATTGTCAAAAGGGTATGAACCTCTGTCTTATAAAGCTCATATTTAGTAAAAATTATTGACATACCAATAAAGAATAATAGTATTCTGGCAAGACAAGTGAACATGCTTTTGAACAATAGTCCTTTGATAATGGGTCCATGGTATTTCTCCATTGAACATACATACACATACATGCACATTTATGTGTATGTGTATATGTGCAAATATATCTGCTGCTTATGGGAGTTTATATTCATTTTAAGTGGGAAAAATAATATATTCACGTCACTCGTTCTAAAAGGGGTTGGTGAGAATATCACCACTGGGAAAACATGGCATGAAGAGCAATAGCAATCTTAATTGCTCTCCCCTGCAAGTATGACCCTAATGTTGTCACCTATATTCCCATTATTATGGTAATTCCCATATGCATGATATTGTTGTGCCTGTTTGTACAGCCATGTATCAGATACTATTTTTAAGGCAGATTTTTCTTACTCATCTTTTTTGGCATCACATTCAATTGTGGTCAATTTTTATAATTTTAAAAAACAAAAAGATACAGACACCCATGTGCCTACCACTTAGCTTAAGATGTCAGACTTGACAGATGCAGCTGGAGGCCCTCATGTACCTGTCCCGATAGCTTTTCCCTCCCTCATCTCCCAAGAGATAACCCTGTCCTGAAATTGGTGGTTTTCATTCCCACACATGTCTATACTTTTTATTACATCTGAGTGTATCCCTCAGCAATATAAACGTTTGCTTTTGGATGCTTCCTTCTGACCCAGGATACAGGAACAACTCCATGTGATTCCCACATTGATGCCTTTGCAATTTTTCACATTAGTGCAACTCATGGGCTTTGTTTGTCAGAAAAGAATAGTAAATGGGACTATTATTTTCAAATGTTATAAAGTGGCATACCGTGAGTATATCTGTTATAGACCTGTGGATTTAATGTAGATGTAGTTGGAACAGTGTACTTATTTAACCAAGTTTTTCATAACTCGAAGGTTTCTTCCCTAGACTAAAGTCATTTCTTCAGTCTTACCATTTAAACTCATGCCCAGTCCTGAGTAAATTTAAAATTGTAACCCTGCCCACTGCCAACACACATGTTTCCTATCTGCCTTACTGTCCCCTCTCCATCCCTCTTTCCTAGTGGGAATGATTTTAGTGTTTCTCCATCATTGAGGAGGAGAGGTCTTCTGGTTATCTATTGCTGTATAACAAGTCATTCTAAAACTTAGTGGCCTCAAACAGCGGTTTATTATTATTATCTCTCATGGTTCTGTGGGTTGACTGTGTTGAGCTGCGCACTTCTCACTGTGATCTCCATGTGATTACAGGCAGATAGCAGCTGGGCTGGAGCCATCTGAAAGGTCAGCTGGTTTAGATATCCAAGATGGCTCACACTTGTGGTTGGCAGTTATGCTCACTATTGGCTGGGAGCAGCCGTGGCTGTTGTCCAAAGCGCCTACTATGGCTCTCTGTGTAGCTTGGGCTTGTCAAAACTCGGCAGCTTGATTCTAAGAGGGAGCTTCTCAAAAGCAGGCATTCTAAGAGTCCTGGGCAGATGCCGCAAGACTTCTTATGACCTAGCCTTGAGTGTCACTTCTGCTGTATTCTTTTGGTCAAATGAACCACTTATGCCAGCCCAGATTCAAGAAGAGAGAGATTAGACTCTACCTCTCAATGAGAATAATAACAAAGAATCTTTAAACTACCACTGGAGGGTTCAGTGAGCAG